TCTAAACAGAATGACCTGAAAAATATTTAAAGTTACAGATAAAATGAAGTTGTTAGACTAACTCTTGAAGCATGCTAAGGTTATCGATTTAAAAAGCAAAATCTAGCAGTAATTTAAATTAAGGAATCATAACCAAAGCCAAGCCTAATTCAGTATGTAAATTGAACATTACTGTGAGTCAAGGAGGCGCTACAATTATCTCGATCTTGCATTCATATATAGATACTGAAGTCATTACTAAATTGTGAATTCACTTTTGAAAAGCAAAATGCTTTGAACTTAATTTTCAGCAACCGTACGTATAAAACAAGAGAAATTTTGCGATGCATATTTAATTACATGTGTAAAAAGATTGCCAAGGATCAACAAAGCACACAAATGCTCTAACTTACAGTCTAACAGATGTCCTAATACATCTGCAGGAGTCCGATTATAGAAGTTAAAAATTTCAGCAGTTCCAAGTCTGAGTTGGGTTCAACATCCGTTTAATTTTATTATATATTCTATATTATGTCATTATTATAATAAGTTCCGAGTTTGGTTCCACGGTTACATAACATTAACATTCAAAATGAGAAATCCGTCCTAATAATATAATAAAAGATGCCAGTTTTCTTTAAAATTACTTTAACAATTTGAAGAAAATGTTCGTTAAAGGTTAGGTAAGGTTATATTAAGCGAAAGCTACTCAAAGATTACCTAGAGGAAGGGAAACATTAGCAGAGGATTAAGCGAAAATTATTAAACGTTACACATGAGAAAAACCCCGAAAACTCACGCAGCCAGTCCATTCACTGGGATTTGAACCCCGATAGTATTCAGCGATCTTACCGCTGGTCGACTTTAAAACGTAAGGTAATGCGATTCTACGAAATAAAATTTTAGTTCCCAAAATTTAAAACGTTAATGAACTTCATCAGACCGACTTTTTTTGACGCCGAAACGTTAGTAAAACAAAAGCCAGACACAGTATGCGAAGATATTCTTACACGAGGCTAGTGAAAGATTAATGAAAAGCCGGCAGACATTTTCGTCAATTCCCGATGTGCGTAGTATGCGTATTTACGCGTTTCAGTGCCTTGTGAACTAGATCACAGAGCGCCAATTTGCTAAGACCGGCGGCAAAATTAAATTTCATAAGGCGGAAGAACATAATTTTTAGATCACGAGGTGCAACAGAACCCCTGGCATCTCCGCACTAGTTTCATTCAAAGGCTATAAATGAGGCGACTGAAGAACAGCAACGCGAAAACTTGAGACGAAGAACCGGTTACTCAACAGATGTGGTTGAATACCGAGATTATTTTTTGCGAAGTATTAGCAGATCATGACCAAAAATAGGACACAGAGGTAGGAGGGGAGATTGATTCATCGTTTTAAACTACGCTTCTTCAATGGCAAGTGTAATCAAAACACTGGTACAAGACGTTAGCATATTGAGAACCACACGTAATTGTGTTGACTGAAACTAACGGCCAGGTGTGAATAAGTAATTTGAACCTTAACAAATTTACGAAAATCTTAATTTTCGTGTTATTGAAAGACTGAGAACAGCTAAATATATTCTAGTTTCGTGTCTTTAAATACATAAATATGAAAATTTTATTGTTCTGAACTACCATTTATATTTTTCAGCTCCACCTTTTTACCCAAATCGCTTTTAAGAGCGCTATGAAACTTGGACATTATTGGTTTCTTTAATCCTTTGCCACCAATATGCGCACAATCTAAGCGTCCAAATCAATGGAAGGAAACACTCCACTTGCCACGAAATGGTCATTAAGAAAAAGTACGGATTAAAAATATTACAGGAAACCGAAGTTAAGGGGAAGAATGTATATCCCTTAACATAGAAAAACCAATCTCGAATTCTAGATACTGCTAGTTAGTTATGCACTATCAGTGAAAAATCGCAATATAAAATGCGATGACACTACTGCGAAATTCACCATTTTGAGTTAAAATATTCAACAATTATTGCAGTTTATGCGAATATTAAATCAATTTCCAAATGCAACATTCTAACAGGTGTGTTACGATTTAATTATAATTTAAGAATTGCTGTGCCATGCAGCGATATAATAAACACGTAATGTAAACAATGCAGGGTTAATACAAGTAATTACAGCAAACAGTGAGAATACAAGCGATTCATAATGAAATAATTTAACATGTATTTTGAAATTTCATTTTCTGTAACATACCATTCATTATACAAATTTAGCATACAAAAGTTTCAGTTAAAATGAGTTAAAATGAATCAAAAACCCTCTGGGTTTAATTGCTGGACAGAGATTCCTTTAGAGAATACTTAAGAAATTGGCTATGATATACAGTGGGTAAAAAAGTATTGGCAATTGCCTATAACTGATCATATTAGGTAACAAAGGAAATGCTTAACAATTTCAGCTGGACATAACGAACACAGGAGGCAATAAAGACAAATATAATGAAACTCGTTTTTAATATGCCTCTTGCAAATTTACGTTTTTATTGTATATTTTGTGCATGTCAAAAAGGTATTGGGCAAGATCATACAGCAAAATATGAGAACAAAACCCAATACTTTGTATTCATACCTTTTGCATCTATAAGAGATTGTAATCTATTCCTCATAGACAAAACCAAAGTTCTGTTGGGAATTTTGGGGCATTCTTAGAGGAGTATACGCTTAAGCTCATCTCTACACGAAATTTTGCGTTTCCCGACTTATAGGTCAAATTTGTGCCACAAATTTTCAATTGAGTTTATATCAGGGTATTGAGGCAGTGTCTTCAACTGGCAAGGAGGATTATAGAGTTACTATTGCAAGATGAAGTTCACCGTATCCTTAGAGTCATTGTCCTGTTGAAACACAAATGATGTTCCTAAGCCAAGTTTTTGGGACACTGGATTTCATGTTATGGCGCAATATGTCAATGTACGTGCGGGCTGTCATAATACCGTCAATGAAGCACAGATTATCAATCCCGTTTGTGCCCCCATACTGCCCTAAACTACGACTCTCCCTCCAGCATGTTTTACAGTCGGTGTTAAATGTTTTCCCAGTTCGGTGTTAAGCTTTCTCCACACATTGTCGTCCATCACTCTCGAAAAGGTTAAACTTCGATTCGTCGGACAAAATACCGTTCCAAAATTCTTCTGATAAATTAAAATGAGATTTTGCAAGATCTAATCCCTTTCTCCTCTTTATTTCTGAAATGATCTTTTTTGCAGCTGCCCTTCCATAACTTCCTTCTGATCAGAAATTCTGTGGTCTTTACACCAAAAGTTTTATGCGAAGTATTAGCAACATCTTTGGTTAACTAGGGTGCAATTATTTTAGGATTTTTGCTTAACCTCTTTAATAATGCCCCATTTTTCCTTGCAGAAAATATCAGATGCCGGCCACTTCTTATTTTCCGTCCATCCTGTCTCTTTGAACTGTCTAACAGTAAATAAAATTATGTTCAACTATATTCCTATAGCACGATCATTTTTGAGCTGAATAATCATGTTTCTAACATTAACATCCAATTCATTCGACTTCGAAACCATTTTATCACAGTATTAGCAAAATAACTTTAAAAGTTTTGAAGTAGCACTGCAGAATTTATACTAATAGGGTTTCTTATCAGTCTAAACACGTGACCTCTACATAAAATTGGCATAGCAGTTAGAACTTTGCCAATCCTTTTTTGACATGCAAATTTACGTTTTTGTTGTATATTTTGTGTAAATCGCATATTAAATTGAAAGTTTCGTTAGATTTGTGTGTTTATTACCTCCTATGTTCGTTATATCCAGCTAAAGTCGTGAAGCATTTCCTTTGTTAGGTAATATTATAAATTATAGGCAATTGCCAATACTTTTTGTAGCCGCTGTACGTTGCGCACGAGGGAAAATGCGGAAACTTTATGCAGCCAGCCCTTCTGCAGAACCTTTCCGAACTAACAGTGTTTAACGCTTTTATTCATTCTTACCGATGGAGTTTGTGGTAATTCATAACAGCAAATCCCAGAAGACGTTACATGGTATAATCGAGGTTAGAAATACCAATGGAATATTTTCTGTGCACTACTTCGTTTAGAAAGCAGGCGACTTCCAAGGCCCTGTGATGTCACATCTAGCGAACCGAATGAAGGGAAATATAATGCAATCCTGGATCTGCATGATTATCTTGGTAAAGGCTCAAACCATTGACAAACAGCATTACATTGTTGGATTATGACACACTGAAAAGTTTAGCTCTGTTATTTGAAAATGGCAAAGCACGACAGGGCCATCTCCCCCCCCCCAAAAAAAGGGGATTTATTGCAGTATTTTCTAACGAAAACTAGCTAGCATTCAGATCACGCATGACTAACACCACGAGAAACTCACGCAGCGAATCCATTGGTATAAGTTTGAACTAACAGAATTCAGCGCTCTAAACCACTCTGCCGTTAGTGGGGTCAAAGATGCCTGGTGTGCTCCGAATTTCAAAGGCTACAGATAACTACGCGCATTCAGCTTAACTGAAGGACATGCTTGCGCACAATTTCATACAGCTGCACAAAATGAAACATAGTTTAAATCTGGCGGTATGTAGCAGAGAGAACTCATTTAAGCCATGACTATTTGGCCAGCCAGAAATGGCGTCAGAGTTGCACAGAAACATTTCTTAATTTCCAAACCTTCCGAATGCGACATGCTATCCTACTGTATTCTCTCATGGATACCCTGTGCATAAACATCAGCGTAGCGATGCCTGGAAAACAGACTTCCCATAACCCACTTTGAGATTCTAAGATTTGTCAACGCTAAAATATACAACTATACATTTCATATACTGTTCCAGCACAGGAAACCATGTGCCAGTTTTCTGTTGAATGGTTTCGCACCAAATATACTTGCAGAGATAAACTTTAGTCATCAGCTCATTGTAGACAAAATATTTCTAAACTTAAGAAATAGCTTGGTTATTTTAATTACTAAATGGTACAGAAAGACACTTAAAATTTAGAAATAACAATACTTACTTGAGAAACAAGCACGTTGCTTGCAAGTTATAGAACAGTAAAATGTTAAAATGCCGTATCGGTCCTTAGTCATCGGCCTAGACCAAACAAGCTTGGAGTTCACAAGGTTAACGGTAGCTTTAGAGCATACATCTGAAAACAGTTTGACGCTTGCTTGATCTGAAAACCAAAAATATCCTATTCTAGATTTTTTAATTCATTGCAGATTACGTACGTCACAGGACTTACGAAATCCTTATCTTTGCCTACACTGAACTAAATCTGAAACTTACCTTTCCAGCCCGAAACGCAGACTTGTTAATTTAGTACAGTCTTTCTCAGTTTAATGATTTCAAACGCTTCAGATCACGAACTGAAAAGAGACGAAGTGTTAGACATACAAACATGGATAACCACAGATAAACACATAAGGATAATATCTAGCTTTAAGAACAAAGAATTTTATTGCTTTTCATCAGAAAAGCGGATTATTTTCAGTGAAACATCTGTTCAGTACTGACGCATCTTTGCAGTGAATTTTTAATTATGAATACTACAACAAGCAGCTAAAAATACGCGATTAGTTTTACTTTAATTCTGCAAAAACAGAACTCTCAAACAAGTTACAGCTAAACAGTTAAATATTTACAGAGGGAGAAGGGTTATTTACTTTTCCACAACATTCCAGTAGAATTGGTTAATATAAAAAATTCCATTTCCTATAATCGATTAAACAGCACGCGAAGTCTAAGGTAAGAAGTGCTTTCAGGGAGAGCTTAGAGGAAAATTGGCTTGTATTCATGTTGTACATGGAGAAAACCCATGAAAATGCTCTATGCAGAGAGAGAGCTTCGTATTGATTTGAACTTTGGTCGAACTAACCTACGGTTGCTCAACGACTTTACCTCGGCCTCAGGAAAATAGGCGAGTAATTTAGAGCTCCAAGCTTCATTTTAAAAAGTTATCAGCAGATTCCTGATCTATGTATTTAAACTGCTGCGCATGCAATTTCTCGAATTGAATCTAAAAATTTTCATTCGGGAAGTTTAAGCATATTGAGTTGGATACTAAACTTTTAGAAATACAAAAAGTATTATCTTAGGAAATAATAAAAACAAACTTAAATGTATTCATAGCATATTGTTCTACATAAAGGCGTGTTTCTGCACTGTTTAATGATTTACTCAAGGATATTTAGTTTCAAATAAATGTTAGAGGATATTTATGATGGTTCCCTACGTATTTTAATTAGGAGTTTTAAGGTACGCCATTTCGTATAATTGGAGATTTAATCCTTAAAATCGGTACGCAGACGGTTCCTATGGTGATTTATCTGGTAAATTCGATGATTAGGTCCAATGGACATATTTGTTTCCACCTTAAGACTAATAACCAAGATCTTAATATGTTTGTGGAGAAAATGTTTAAGAAAAACAAATGTAACGGAATTACAGAATGCTTATTTGGATCCTTGCAAGAGTAGTCATTCTCAAAATTAGATTTATGGTAATTTGAAATCATGAAATTTACGAATTCTGCGATATTTATTAGTTTTTATACATATCGTATCAAATTAACCTTATTTCTTGACATCTTGTTTTCGGCTATTTTTCACGAGTCCCGGGTATTTGATACGCATTACAATGTACTCTTATTACCTCAGATTGTTTTGCAGTTTAATCTCGCTAGTGTTCTACCTATAATAGCTGAAAATATTAACATCAAATGCTCAAGATTTTCTTGATTCTAACCCAAATTACAATAAGAGCACTTTACTGCGAGTTAACCATTTGCTATTAAGTGAAATATATTCTTAGTTCCATGAGAAGTTCAAGAGTATTCTTAATTTCTAAATTCTCGAAATTTGAGCATTCTAAAACAAATTTTAATAATGAAAGAATTACTTCAGATAGGCAGATACGCAAGGTCTTACCCTAGCATGGTTATTCTAGATTTTAAGCATGGGTAAATACATCACTCGCTAATCATGAGCCTAGTGTTAATTTACTTTTTATATATTCTTACTCTAGAAAGGTTTCTAGGATAAATATTAAATTTAATTTACCTCGTTTATGTTGACCATGCTTATTGACCTGGTCGTTCGATGGGACACAGTCCGGTAGATGTTGCCAAAGGCTGTTTGCGCCACCGAAAGGACCCCACATAGGCTCATCGTCAGTTGAAATTACACTTTCCTTACTTGAGCGAAAATAGTCCTTCATTTCTGAAGCTGGAAATGAAATGTCCTCTTGCGAAGATCCGTGGGACATTATCCCACTATCGCTATCTTTCCAAGAGACACTTCGCACGTAACGAGGCATGTTAAGGGAACAATAAGAATCCATATAAGGGTAAGAAAACTCAGTTGACCAGCTAACAGAATCTTGCGAACGAGTTTTTTCAAGCACAGAACTTTCGTTATAAACACTTTCAGTATCGTTTACCGACAGCGATCTCTTAAAAAATGGTCTGGATGAAGGAAATTCACGAGGAAATTTTGGGCTATTCATGCTAAGTATTTTATCAGATGATTCACTCGTAGTTGTCGATTCAAACCCAGTAGTAGGAAAGCTTAGCAAGTCGACGAACTTCTCAGTTGTGGAAAACGAATTGGAAGCTTTGACGAAACAATCACACCAGACACTGCAAGGAGTTTTACATAAAACTTGTTTATCAACACCCTTTTGTTTAGTGTCAGATTCGATTTCAATCAACTGCTCAGAAGACAGGCAACGTATAACGTCTGCAATTTCTACACCTGAAAGATGTAACTGAAAGATAGTATTAAATTTTCTAAAAATAAGGTCAATATATAACATTTCGTTTCCCGAAAGCATTCAACTGAAAACATATGTATGCCAAGAAAACTTGCCGAGTGAGCAATTTTTTAAACAAATTGTTCGAAGTATATTGTAGTTTAAAAAATAGAACGCAGACATTTCGGTTCCCAGCAGGTTAGAATAAAGTTAATTTCAGATATTTACAGACTAATTATATTGCATAATTGTCATTGCTTGCAAGTTGTCGAAAAAATGGTTTAATCCATTCTTTCAAAAGTTAATTACGGCAAAACATTAAGCATGTCTGCCTCAGAATCTTAAGATGCCTTCGTAAACGAGTTTCTAATTCATTCACCGGCAAGTTATCGGAAAATTCTGAACAGAAGGTTTTTCTGAAGGTCAAACAGAACTTTCGGCTGCTAATACGAGAACTGCTTCTGTTGCGAATTTGGTACAATAATTTTTCAGCTTATTAGTATTCAGTTTGTGGTTGCAAATAAAACTCAATTGCGGAAGCAGGCTCATTAAGAATTATATAACAAAGACTTGATGAATCATGCATTATATTTAATCTGGGTATTATCTAGCTGCTACATATCCCAGATCTCTCATTATTGAAGCAGTTGAACTAAAGCTTATACTACAATTAGCGCCCAACCGGGATTGCGTAGATAGTATGGACGTTTGCAAATGTATACTGTTTGTGCGAGATGGTGGACACTAAACATGCGACGAGCCTATAGTACTCTGAAGAGGTTGTGGTAGAGGGGTGGGTGACTTTCGGACCCGTCTCTCCGAGAAGCTCTCAACTGAACTAAAGTCGAGCTATCCCATATAGTGCTCAAGGTTCTTGCCAACGGCAAGTACATTTTGCTTTTTGACCACGGTATTTATTTTTAAGAGGATAATTGTCGTGGTCACGTCAAATGCACTTATCGTTGACAAGCGTCTTGAGCATACGTCGTGGGCTTGTGCTGACCTTGTGATTAAAAGACTTGGGCAGTTCCAATAAAATTGCTGCTGTCCTTATAGGCAGCTATTATTGATATGAATACAATCTTAGTAGTCGCTTGCGAACTACGTCAAGAAGAATGGACATTTGGCTTAATTTTCGTTAAATACCCGGAAAAATTACTCCAAGTATACATATTTTTAAAATTAACCAGAAGTAGCAAAGAACTAGCACCTTTTTTTATCGCAATGCATAGCTTATGCATTTCAAATTTAATTTTAATTGCAATGAATACATTTTTCCGATTCATTTCGAAATTATCGCTCAAGAGCTTTTCTTTGCTAATGAAGAACAAAAACATAATTTTCAGGAACAATTGTCCCTTAATTCTTGGTTGAATATCGAGTTTAATCGAATATACGGAAGACTTTCTATACGAAAAATATTGATATTTATCGATGAGTGGGTGACTGGCCCGGTAGACTACTAAACCGGTTTGGACTACATTCTACTGGCGATTAAATTAGAGCGCATTATCAGTTTTACATCTCCGGATAACTAAAGACCAAAGAAACAAAACGTTCGATTCCACAGGGCTTTGTTGAAATGAAATCTTGCCAATATTTGAATGGATCAAGATATTCTAAAAGTAAACATTTTGAGATGATAGCTGAAAGGATGCATAAGAAGCTAATTTAATTTAAAAGTTTATGATGGAATAACCAAATTTTAGAATCATACTTGCAAATATACAGGTCTTACCTGAACTGTTTGCTTATTCAGGGTTTGAGAAGCGAAAGTCTTCCTTTCAGAGGATTCTCATTCGTACAAATTTTTAAGAGTTAATTTTCCTTATTGGTTTCTGGAAGCAGCTAATCCAAAGAAACAGTTTTAACTACTAGATTTTTAAGAGAAATTTTGGAGATACTCGACTCGTAGTTTGCCATCTGAGAAGGATTTAGGCAAGAGCCAAAAAATCAGTTAGAGACCAAAAACTGGACAAAGGTCTGCTCAAGGTCTGCTAGTTTAGAAAAGGACAAACCAAAAGGATGCCTTCATGTAGGACACTTCCTAGGAAAACTGGCCGGGCTTAATGAGAAAATTTGTAAAAAGCATGCAGCCAGTCCCGACAGTATTCGAGAATAGAACTTGTGACGAGACATCGCTGCTCGATGATTCCAGCCATTCATAGATCCCGATTCCAAATAAATTTTATTGTGTATTCACCAATTATCATCAGTTAGACAACTTAATAAAAATTCATCTGAATCTTTCCATTTAAGCGATTCGTAAGCATTATTGGATGCTAAATGTTCACATGTGCAGGTTTAATATAAAAAAATGGTGTTTTTAATGACTAGTTGAAATGAGCATTAATATAGTTTAGCATTCTTGAGACCCAAGCACTATACTGCAAGGGAAATAATTACTTGAAACCAAATAAAGTAGTGTTCAAACAAGATTGCTGTAGAATTTACAAAACTACACCAAATGAATTAAAAAGAATGCAATAATTAGCAACATAACTTTTGCACCGGAAGTTTACTTAAGTTTTTATCCTAGATATTTACTTCCAATTAGTTTCTTAAATAGAGAAAGTAAGATTCAGCGCTGGATGAGGTTGGTTAGTTGAGCCAAAAGTACTCTAAAAGTTTTCTACTTTTGAGATGGACCTCCTTAGTGGCATATTACGAGCATACTTTACAAACGAACCAGTTTCCTATAGAAAGTTCTAGGAACTAGCTTGTATATACGCCATAAGGGAAACATCAAAATTTATGCAGACAAAAGTTCATCGGAATTTGAAGCGAAGTCGAACTTACCAGCATTCAGTAATCGCCTCAGCGGCTCACTCTGGAATTGAACGAGATTCACATTAGTCTAGTTAGTAGAATGCTCACACTTTAAATGTTCCACCTTTTTAGATGCAAAATTCAAATACATTACTGAAGGAGTAATTACTCCGATCACTTCATTGGTACTTATTTCCAAGACTAATTTAAGGAAGCTTAAAAGAAAGTTGGCTTCAGCGATTATAGCTCTAATTTTTAAATTAGAAACCAGCCCCATGAAACTAATATCGACGCGAATTCTGCACTTAAATTGTTTTATATTTTATCTATTAGACTTTCTACAGAGATCAATATATTAAGCTTTTGTATTTACAAATCCCTCTTATTCACCGCCCATGCTAAAACTTTCACAAAGTTATATGCAGAAAGTAACCGAGAGGTACCAACTGACTAGGACTAATTAAGTAATAAGGCAGGCAGCCGTTTCCTTTAACCACCTAGTCTCATAACAGATCAAGTTCTGCTCTTAGAATTTTTCAACATGCATTTTAAACAAATTTGCAGAAATGATTTAAAGTGAAATATGCTCAATCTCCATTGTAAATGTAGGTAACCAAGACTCGCATAGCGCATTTCATCCGTTAAGTACTCATGAGATCCCCGTTATGTACACTAGTGAAGGATATGTTATTTCTAAATGAACAGTTTCAGTAACTTTAGACAAAGTTTTAATCACATTTTATAGTAATGAATAAGTTAAAAACTAACCTTCATCATTAGAATCCCGAATCTCTAACAAAGGATGGCAACCATTATCCTCTGCCACCGTGTTAAACAGCTTTGGTACCTGAAAAAGTTTAATCACCTCAAATATTAATATAAAATTTTACATGGCATAATATTTGCTGAAGCATTTAATATTTACAAATTTTGAGAATTTGCATATTACAGCAGCCAGCTTAGAAGTCGCTAGATTTTCAGGACGTGGCACTCTCTGGCAAACATGCTAATAACAATTGCCAGTTTTAAGAGTTAAAATTTTCATCTGCGTTTTTTGTTCTGCCAATTCCGACGGGTTTTACCGATAAACCTTTTGTCTCAAACTTTAATTCTGAAATATGCGCTTGGGCGATTTGCTGCAATGCAAGAAACTGCGATAAAATTTCTTCAGGAATACAGCATTTTGTCGTACAATCGTTAGAGGGAATGATTGTTTTTATAAAGATCGCCACCAAATTTCCACCGGAACAAAGCAAAAACCCGCGTGTAAATAGGTTTACTGATTGATTTTAGACTAAATGCCTAACTTTAATAGCATATAATAAACTTCTTGAAATTTGATAATTATTTTTATGAAAAACATCCTCTGGCTGCGACAAGACTAATATGTAAAAAAACGAATTTTGGTATGTTCACCGGAGTAAAACAGCCAGCTGTCTGGATACATGTCGCTAGCTTGATAAACTTACCCTACTTAAAAAATAAAGGCATGAAAATGCTAAATTACGTTACTGTTCTAATGCAAGATTTCTTAACCTTCTGAATCTTGCACTTCCCAGGCACTTTTTAAGTTTGAATTTTCCTTACGAATTTTGTTCATAAAAATTCGCAATACTACTGCGCTATTACAAACAATTTTACTCGTTGGAGACTAATTACAAAATTGAAGTTTCCATAGCTCCTTGCATTTTATAAAATGCTAGTAAGAAGTATCGTAAGAGTCCTGATAACTTGCGTTGCGTATTAAAAATGCTTAATAATATATTGCAAGTGAGTCTTGCAATAACCCCGATAGCCAAGAGAATAAATAAGCTGGAATAACTACTATTCAGTTAGGATCTGTTTGTCAGGAAAGGCCCGACTAAGTATTATAGGTACACACACCGTAGATCTGCTGAAGTATTTAACAAAACCTACCGCACTCAAAGTTAATAATTCAGATGAATAAGCGTGCATTACTCGTTTCCCCTTCATTTCCTTCCGAAGATGGCAGTGAAATTTATAGATCGGAAAAATAGTTTCTTGGAGAAAAAATTGCTAAAGGGCTTTTTTCTAAAACAGCACACTTAAAACCTGCCATAAAAATTGGGAACCGTAAAACTGGAATTCCAATAAATACCACGATATGTTATGGAAGCAGATTAGGTAAAATAAGTTGGGGAAAAGATTCATAAATTTGAATGAACACTAACTTCAGTGAAAATAGGTAACCTGTAGCTCCAATTTTTATTTATACGGAAACGCACAGAAAAAATAATTTCTAATATTCAGCAATTAACAGAGTGAAAATGAATTTCCACTTTTGTTTTATAACGAAAACGTACCCCTCAGTGCTTTATAAAATCCAAATATAGTTATTTCGTTTATGTAGGCTAGATCGTTTCAAAACATTGCAGGTTAAAGACAGCAATTCAACAAGAGAAATTAGATATATTAAATAATTAGTCGGTATTCAATTTCATAACTCGCTTCAACATTTCCATTTGCTACATTGTGTTTTGCATTAATGGACAAGAAACGTTACTTGGTAAAAAGTTTGTTCCAATTACAAATGGATTCTACATCAAGAAAATTTACTTAAATTTGCGTAAAAGCGTCCGACGGTGTAGTTTGCTAATGCAGAGGCTACTTTCTTTTTTAATAGATAAAAGAAGTCTCAAAGAACTATGTTCACTTCAAGTACATGCTTGAAAGGGCAAAATTAAGCTAAATATATATACTGAAGTACTGAAATTAGGGTAGGTTAAGTTAGATTACTTGGATTACGGCAAAGCACACGAGGTGTATCTGCCTAAACGAGAGATCTTCGTGTGGAGAGCTTTAAGGAAAACTCACTCATATTCACATAACACATGGGAAAAACCAGCCTGCAGCCAGTCCGTTCGCCGGAAATTTGAACACTGATCGAAATAGCAGTATTAAGCTCTCTTGTCGCTCCCTCGCTGGGAGGGGGGGGGCACTGGTGAGACGAAAGGTACTTCAGGTTAGAAACAAGCTAGCATTTGGTTTAGTTTATTATAGCAGAGCGCACTAGGATTAGCTGCCTAAGTGAAGGGATGCCTTCACTGAAGACTTTCTAAGGGACACTGTAGTATATACGTTACACATGGGGGAAATTTGTTGGAACCCACATGAAAATTTCAGTACATTAAAGCTATTTTACTAACATAAGTTAGTATTATAATGATAATGAGATAATATAACGTACAAATTTTTCGAAAATAAAAAATATTTGGGAATCGTGCAATGTCGTCAAGTAATCAGGTTCGAGAGACTTTAGTAATCAGGTTTAAGAAAAGGCCTTACAAACTTAAATATTGCATGGATGGCTTTAAAATAACGGAAAGACTTCTTGTAGTAGAAGTTATTTCTTAAGAAACGTACCTAAGAACCAAAAGAAACTTGAAAGTTACACCCCCCCCAAAAAAAAGCTCTTTTGAACCGATTTAACAAACTCTTGTGACGTAACGGAATGATCGTTATCGGATTTTCAAGGTTTTACAACATCACTCACACAGCCTACATAACAAGAATGTTAATCACTGAAAAGAGTCAGGTTACACATGGAAGCATTTAGAATGAAGTTTTTCCCAAAGCACTGCAAATTTAGAGTACATTTTCATGTCGTTTTAATCTCTTCCATTCGCCATAATTGTTGGATTTAAAATTACTTCAAGCAGCTTAAATTTAAGTGAAACGAAGAAAATGCAGAGTAAAATAATTTAGCACTATTATAAACTTTGTAAAATCCTAAAGCTATTTGTGGAAAACTTCACTGTGCTCAGCGTGTTTAAAAATAAGAGCAAGAAAATGCATTAAAAATCTTAAGATTATGTTCATAAGATTACACCAGACAATACTGAAAATTCGCACCAGAACCGAATGCAAAAACATACTGGATTTGAATTGCGCGAATTCCCGTCATATGTGTGAAAACTCCGTCACTTGATATGCTCAGATACTCAAATTGAAACAATGTTAAAAATATAACTGTTCCTAGAGACTAAAAAAAGAAGCTCAGTGAGATGACTTATTCTCATTTTCAATCTGAAAGTTAGTTTTTACGACAGTTTTATTAGACGTAGCTATAGCTAACGATAACACTATGTTTCACGTAAACTCTTCAGGAAATGGAGTTTAACTACAAATAAAACTGTACAAGAAAGAACGATTTACGAGAATAAAATGCATTCAAGGCTCAGATTAGAACCTATTCGAGGACGGTGTGGCTTAAATTTTCTTTCGTTAAGAGACTATTATACAGTTAGACAGATTTTAGATTTATAACTCCAGGTGATGAAATTATTCAATCAAGTCATAGGACAACACTCGCAAGGAAGGTCTAAGCTTAGAATTTTTTTAAAGGATTGGTGCCATGAACATATAAGGAATTAGTTTAATACCTGCAGAGAGGAAAATCAGTTAAGAAATTTTTTTGCTATGCAACCCCTACCTCGGGGCATTCTAAAGTATCAGAATACTAGTTCATCATACTCCAGATTTATATTTTGCAGAGAAACAATAAATGAATAGATGAAAAGCAAAGATATGCATCATTACTCAACTAGTAATACAAAAACTAAGCAAAATTTAAGGGTACTTGAAAAATTTGGGCAAAATGCTCGGAATTGAAAAAAACTGTAGCAAGATGCCCTGTGTTGCAGTCATGGACACGTGACAAATTTCATGCAACAATCAATAAGCTGGTTATGGACCAAGTATAGGATAAATAAGATGAAGCGAGAAAATAAAACATTAAGTCATCCACATTTGTTGAATATAAATTTGGCAACTGCATAGCTTAAGCAAGGTAAACGGAAATTTAATTTCCTTTCCTGCAAACACATCTAAATTATTAGAGATGAATAGCGTAAAGAGTAATCAAGATAACTTCAAAGTACGGACATAAAAGAACGTGATTTAAAGACATAGGTAGAAAACGAAATCAACCAGAACAGAGACGCCTATGTAAGAAGTTCTACACTAAAAATAGAATTAGTTACCGACTATTAACACGTTGAGCCCGGCATTGAACTTTCCATGTAGCCAACAGTATTAAAGTTAAAAAAAATATAGTCTCAATGAAATGGGATAAAATGTAATTAAGACACAATAACACGCTGAATAAATACTAATTCAGAAGTCAAACAACAAAAATCAGCGTTATATTTACAAAATTTTCACAGGACTAGTTTCGATGGCTTTACCGAACCACCATCTTCAGCTGCAAAACCGCAAATGAACAAGATTATCTTGAATTCTGAATTAGGGATAAAATGTAGTTTTAATGAAATTTATTGAAGCATTCTAAACAAAACTACGGCTTAGCTGTACACATTACAATACGCAACAACTTTTTTGGCAACATTTTGTTATGAATCTGGACTAAGCAGATTTTGGTACCAAGATAACCGGCTGAACGGAAACCAGCCGGCAGAACGGAAAGGACAGCAAATTCGGCGCCGAGATCAACGTGTTAAACAATGAAATACGATATTTTTCAACCTTTACCATTTACCGGCTATTTTGCCAATTTTACAGAATTTCAAGATATTTCAAAATTTTACTATAGAGTTACTCCCAGCGACAGGTAATTTTCAAAATTATCAAAAGGGATTCAGCAGCCAGTTTTGACAAATTTTTAATATGTAGAATCAGCGTTTTCAAAACCAATTGAACATTCCACTTTGGAAGAATTACTAAAGCGGCTGAGCGCCTATGAGCACCAGTAACAATATTAGGGTTAAAAGACTAAATAATTTTCAATGACCTACTTCTGAACAGTAATAATTTCTTACCTCAGGGTCCAGTGAATAATCCCATAATGAAGCAGTATCAAATTGGAAATTCTCATCCAACCCTGGAGTGGAATTCATCTCTGGAGTGGAATTCATCTGGAGTGGAATTCATCTCTGGAGTGGAATTCATCTCTGGAGTGGAATTCATCTCTGGAGTGGAATTCATCCCTGGAGTGGAATTCATCTCCATCCCTGGAGTGGAATTCATCCCTGGAGTGGAATTCATCTCTGGAGTGGAATTCATCCCTGGAGTGGAATTCATCCCTGGAGTGGAATTCATCCCTGGAGTGGAATTCATCCCTGGAGTGGAATTCATCCCTGGAGTGGAATTCATCCCTGGAGTGGAATTCATCCCTGGAGTGGAATTCATCCCTGGAGTGGAATTCATCTCCATCCCTGGAGTGGAATTCATCTCCATCCCTGGAGTGGAATTCATCTCCATCCCTGGAGTGGAATTCATCTCCATCCCTGGAGTGGAATTCATCTCCATCCCTGGAGTGGAATTCATCTCCATCCCTGGAGTGGAATTCATCTCCATCCCTGGAGTGGAATTCATCTCCATCCCTGGAGTGGAATTCATCTCCATCCCTGGAGTGGAATTCATCTCCATCCCTGGAGTGGAATTCATCTCCATCCCTGGAGTGGAATTCATATCCAAATCTGGAGTGGAATTCATATCCAAATCTGGAGTGGAATTCATATCCAAATCTGGAGTGGAATTCATATCACCCTCGGCCGAATCTTTTAACATTTCACACACATCATTAACGATATCTTGCAGCTGATTGGAATAAAAGTCCAAATTCAGTTCTTGATAGCTGTCGTTTTCATTAAAATCTTCAAACACATCATCCAGATCTAAAGGATAATTGCATATATTGTTCAGATGTACATCAATTTCATTACCGTCTGGGACTTCAGGATAATTGCAAACATGAATTTCTTTCCTCTTACAGGAGCTGGTCAAAGAAAAAGGATTGCCGAAAAAGTCAAGTGGCAATGTGTAACCAAACATCGGAGGGCAACTACATTCAGAATTCTCAGAACAAGGATTCCACAGACTTCCATTTTCGGGTGTCACCGACCAAATCTTATCTTTGAAACGTTCCGGACGGTGGGTTAGTTTAATTGTGGGTCTCAGAAATTGCTCGTGGCGGTATAGACCCCAAAATGCTACTAACAATATCGTAGGCTTCGGTAGCTTAAATTCTTGCTTTTTTGAAAGCCGCCATGAGGAACCCTTCCATGGGTCTCTTGGCCTATCATCAAGTTGATGCACAAGATACCTCTCTGCAAGTTTCGAAGAAACGCACGCCCGGATGCTTAAGGTTTCGGTCCTTTTATTTATTCTGCAACTTAGGATATGTTCAATAATGGTTGCGATTTCCGATTTCTTTAGTAGGAAGTCGGCACAGGCAATTTTGGATTTAATAAATTGCTCAAAAAGTTTTATTGTTAAAACCAGTATGTAACCGTCTTTAGAAGGAGCATTTGCAGGAACGAAAGTTCTCGCCAGCGGATTGAGAGCCGACATTTTGTAATAAAAGTTCAATTTGTCACCGTGAATGATTACGTTTCAACACTTCGAAAAATTTCATAAAAACTGTGGACGTTTTCAAACCAGTTTATCTTTGCTCTTGGAACCAGCTCCAGTTCATGTTTAAACCTGAAAGTATTATATGCCGTTACATGGGAAAACGAGATTAAAGCAGATTTAATTGTTAACACTTCGCTGTTTGCCCCTTTAACCAGGCAGAAATGCTCACTCAGTGTCCGAAATATATTACCAATCTTAAATCGAGAATTTCTGTATGTTAAAAATGAGAAACTAGCTTTTAAAACACATAATTTTATTGAAAAATAGAACTTTTTTTTTTGCTCTTGCAAAGTGGTGAATTTACGAAAGCAGAGTAAAGGACGAGTCATATCGCGAGGACAGAGTCATAAGGTGAAAACAACGAAGCGTTAATCCATGAAATAAAATGAAAAATTCGTTTGTCGAATTTGATTTCAGTATGCAGAGCTAAGCGAGATAAAAAAGTTCTCTTGAATATGAACATACGTAAGCATGGAAAGAACACAAATCTTGCTAATTATATTACAGTTATAGATGTTTAGAAGTAATTATAGTTGAAGTTATTCAAAACGATAACCGGATACGCTACAAAACATACTAAATTTTTTCCCCCATTTAAAATTTGCTCAGCCTTTCTAGGTTGTGTTTTAGAAATTGGCCGTCCGACTTTCGATAAACATTTCTGCCAATAATCCCGTAGGCCTTTATGAACTCATTTTTAATACATCTTTGGAAATATTGCTGAAAACAATCCTCAAAATTTCTGCGATCTGAAAACACAGATTTAATAGTTTTAAGGTGGATGCAACATGCTATAATTACACGTATGTGTGGCGTGCTTCAAGATATTAACCCTGCTAAGATGTAATATAGAGTGGGCATAGTCCGACAGAACTTCGCTTGTTCACCGATTACATTTTACAACAGCGAAGCCAAATTTAAATACTTTGTAATCAATATATTCTAACCTTGATACCTCCAATCAATTGGACGTCATAATTAGGTTTCTCATAGATAAGAAATTTCAGCATTTGGTTAAATCTCAATGTTTTCTCTTGCCAATGTTTTGGCTGTTTTCTGAGCCCTTAAACACAACTTTTAGCGATTAGCAAAACGCTTTTACTTTGGTTTAACGATTTTTAAAGAACACCTTATAGTACCTTTTACTTGAGAAAATAGTAGATTAGACTTCTGCTTTAAAATTTATGCTTTCTTCAGGACATTCCTTAAGAGTAATAGAACATTGCTTAATAAAAGTTCCAACACCAGAAAAGCATGAATTCAATACTATCAAAAGCAAATGTTAAGACTATAAAAATTCTTACCGATATTATGCTACAACACTGTTGAAATTTTTATGCAAAAGCAATGAATTCGGTATATTTTGAACAATAAGAAGCGCAATTGGAAAGCTTAACGCGTTAAGCTCCACGTCAACCATCTGTGGCTGACAGACTTTCTGTTTAGGCCTCTTCGACCGCCGCTGGCTGATAGCGTGTAACATGATATATAACTATAAAATTTACACTTTTTTTATGGAATTACAAGAAACTTATTTAAAATTTACTTAATTTTGATTCATTATAGAACTAATGGATTTCATTGAAACACTGTAAATATAAGAACGGTTCTCCATTACAGTTACTACAAAATGTGACAACTCTCTTAAAGTCTTTTCTGGCCATTACTCCTGGCCCTATAATACCAGCGCTTTTAAGCGGCGTGCGTGGCCGGAACGAGATTGCCTAAAAAATACGAGTGGCGCTCAACGTGTTAAAATAAATAAAAAACAGGTCTGCTGTTAGTGACGGTAACTTTCAAAATTTAAAACTACAACAACTAAAAAAGAAATAGTTTTTATACTAGGATTAGAACCTCGCAATTCACACTGTAAGAATTTAAAGAATTGCAACATTCAGGTTATACGATCGCCAATATACCGTTGAAGATAAGTCAAATGTTAGACAAAATTACGCAACAAATTGTTAAAGGTCACATTTTGTACTCCTGTCTTGAAAACTTTATTACCTTTACCTACAAAATAAACTTCAATTTCTTTGAAAAAAATACTCCAAGTAAGCTTTCATCGTTATTTCATTTGACTTGAAAATGGAAATTACTTTAACGAAATGTATTTAGTATGAACAAAGGGATAATATTCAGAACAATGAATGCGAAAGTTTGAAACATTTAATGGCTTTTAGGGAATTCATACTAAAAGCTAAAATTTAATCTTGATAACACAGCATTTTTATTTCGTTCTTATAAACTATTAAGAGCAGCCTGAGAAACAGAAAGCACTTACCATTTCCTTTTTTAATTGGAGAAAGCCATGTAAGCCTTAAACAGTAATGTCTGTACCTCTTAACTCTAGTGGCGTACATTATATTTTTGACTTTGAGGCAGTTCACTTCATTTCATTTCCCTTAAAGTATTACATTTCACTTCCTTTCATTTAATAACCAATTCGTGTACTGCCCAGCTGATTAGTATATTAATATTATAAAGCAACTTCATTTTTAGGATCGAATGAGGTATCTTTCCTTCTTTGAAATACTAGTTACTTCTGTTAAAAAACAGGAAAATGTCCTACCTTTCCTGTAGTTAAATGATTGCATGTTTGACTGCACATAAAATGACTTTAACTAACTCAGTATGCAAATTTTGAATAATTTTTAAGGTTTTTGTTCAGAAAATTTTTAAAGTTATATGTATAAAAAGTAAAATAGACCCTTGCCGAACGCAGGGGTTACGTCATTAATACACTACAACGACAAAATCGCGTTTCACTTTCCATGGAAAAAATGTGTAACTCGCAATTTTAAGAAAGTATGTATAATTTAAATAAACCTAAATATTGTTGTAACTAAAAGGAAATACGAAACAAATGTTAATTGAAAGGATTTTTATTACTTTTTAATTAATACTTGATGCAATTACTTTTTTAAAAAGCTGATGATTTTTGCTCGGGACAGTGACCGAGCCAACGCTTTAAAAAAGATTCGCGCTAAAAGGGGTACAGATTTTCACAGCCTCTTGTAAAGTGTCCTTTTCTTTCTTCACTTGGGTCAATCTACATCACAAAACCACAGTTACAGTTCCTGTGCTTGTTTTAACAATTCGTTTAAGTTCTTGTAAGGTAAAAGCATTTTACCTTCGTTATCACTGCTTTCGCTGTCGGTTGGTGGTATAAGGTCTCCCAGTTCTTAATTCGTCATTCTTCAATTAACCGCTTAACGACTGCGCCCGAGATATCTCGGAAATAGATGCCGTTTCGACTTTCCTATGAACGAGTTAACTCGGGGGCTATAAACTTTACGGATATTTAATGCCATCGCCCGTAATATCGCGTGGCAATTGACACTCTGCAATGCACATATTTTCTTAGCTTTGGGAGGGGTCCAAACGGCCTTTGTGAGTATCGGCTCGAAGTGATTATCTTCGAGCTGTAATGGCGGTATTATTGTCCAGACTGTGATGTGCCGCTATGTATTACACCATGTTTCAGACTGTACCATACTGTCAATGACATTTATAGATTGTAAAATGTATTTACTTGATTTTTAATTTAGCTCTTATTACCTATTATTGCTTTTGGCTGCTTCATTGAAGCCCGAGTTAACACTCAGGTAATGCCATGAATCATAATAACTGTCTTGTTTCCGCCCCCTTCATTTTTTTTTTTTTGTGTGTGTTTCTGTGTGTGTGTGTGTGTGTGTGTGTGTGCGTGTGCCTTACAAAACTACCTCTATCTGTAGATAATAAAAATGGTATAAAAAATCAGGGATTTTTCGGCATAATTTTTAATATAAATTCAGTCATTAGGCGGTTAATTATTTGACTCATGCTTTATCTTGAAATCCTTTTCCGTAAATTGCTTTTACAATTTGTATGATTTTTTAACTTTATTTTCAGCCAATGAAATCCGGTAAAATTTTCTGATAATCTCTGGCCAGAACAAGTCGCGTTTCGCAAGTCCGCGCTTGGCGAGGGTTTACTGTACAAAGAGGATGGTTGACTCTAAGAAGGACAGATTTCTGAAATATGTCTCATAATTGCTCCTTTAAGTCTTTATTCTTATGAAAATAAATGTGTAGCATCTGCAAAATTTAAGTGCACAAAATGAAATACCAGTTTCCATTGTGTGTATGCACCTCATGAGTTCAGAAATCAGGAAAAAAGACTTTTGAAATTGGAGTACTGACTTTATGTTTTACGTGCAGTTGTTTGATCTATTAATATATCCAGTTTATAAATAAATGTTCGTTCTTGAAAGTTTGGATACTTTCAGCTTGATTTCAGTCAGATTGTTTCATGAATATCTCTTAAGAAAGCATTCGTAGTAGCTTTCTTTTAAAAAATAACTTTTTTTCCCTTGTTAGGCCTCTCACTTTCCCTCAAAATGTATATGAATATATCTCCAAAAAATCTCCAAAAAATGTATGTAAAATGTTAAAATATTGTAAATCATAACTAGATTTGTCAATATAGCGCTATTTGGCAACAACCAAAATTTTCAAGAATTCAATTTTGGAAATGTGGAATGTCGCCAAGGTGATCAGGTTTTGCAACAAAACTGGTAAGTAATAGGAAATGGAGTTATACTAGTTAATAGTTAAATAATGTTCAATAATAAAGAGATAAACAAGCGAAAGGTATATATTTTGTCTGTCAACACACCGTAATTTAAAAGGAAAAGTTAAGCAGAACTGATGAAAATATCTAATGCTTGAAAAATTAAGTTTGAATACAAGAAACCCTGAAAATTATTTTGGGGTGGAAAGATGTTTCATATGTCAGTTATTTTAGCGCAATACAGATAATTCACACTTTATGTGATAATAAATGCTCTGACTGGGGCAAATCTCTACAGAAAGTTTGCCTTTGATAAATAACAATATTTCAATCGTTTACTTCAGCAGTTCTCAACCTTTTGACTAACACGTACCATCTAAACAAAAATTGTAAACCTTTAGTATCACCGCTACAAAGTACTACTACCACCACTACTCTTGAACAAAGCTCAGATCGCATCAATTTACGAGTGTTAGACATAAAATTCCATCTGGATGTTGGGGTTTAATTTTTGAATTTATTAGTTAAAAATACTTTGCATCTTTGCGTACCACCTATTTTTCTCCTGCGTACCACCAGTGGTACGCTTACCACATGTTGAGAACCCCTAGTTTATTTCATTTCCTCTGCAGGGGCCCAGTAGCGGCTGAGGGGTAAAATCTCTGGATATTGGTAGTTCCGCCCTGGGTTCGATTCCAGGCGAACGGGGTGACTGCATGAGCACTTTTGTGGCTTTCCCATGTGTAACGTGTATACAAGTCAGTTTCCCTGAGAAAGTCCTCCACGAGGGCATCCCTCCCCTTAGGCACATAGCCCTCGCGAGCTTTTCTATAATTAAATAAACCAAACCATCTAAAGGGATTTAGTTGTTAACATTAACTCAATAGCTTTTTTTTTTTTTTTTTTTCTGACTATGTCGAATACATTGTATTCTTTTCCCAAAAAGGCTTAAAGTTCCCATAAGTGAAGTTAACAATATTACTGTAAAACTAAGGAAACGTTTTCAATAAAAACAACTGAAATTCTTTTAAATAAAGCAAGGGTCAAAGTAACTGCAAATGCTTTCATTGTTATACTAATTTAGATGTTGTTCTTGTGACTTACCTCACTTGATTGACAGTAATATCAGAATAAGCCGATAAACTTCATTGTGGCAACGAGTGCGAAATTGCGCCTGTCGTTAGCAAGAGTCTTGATCACCATACAGGTGACAGTACGACTTTGCTCAGTTCCGCTCCCCAATTTTAATGGAGAGCACCCCGGGAGGGGATCGGTCCGTGGGTCTCCCACCCCTCTTTCCCTACCACCAACCTCTCGAGAGGACTTTCGTCTCGCCGCATATTTAGAGTGCACCCATGCCGCAACAGACACTATATGTTTACAAAAATACATTCCTTTTCCGGGATTCAAGCCCGAGCCTTTCGCTACGGTAGTCAGCGTCGCTAACCAGTGTCTGGTTGGGCAGCCTAATTGAGAAGTAAATAATGTTAAAAAATTTCTCTGCTAAATCAACGCGAATCGGAAATTGACGATATACAAATCGAGGTATATTTGGAGCTGCAGTGTTGTTCTGAAGATTTCACGAAATTTAAAATTTTCGCCGGAAAGTTCGCTGTAGTAATCAAATTCGTCAGAAATTTCGCCTCTGGTGACCCAAAATCCCATATTTAACAATTTACTTTGAATGCATAATTGAAAATGATTTAAAGAACCCTTTTTTTGGAAGAAAAAATATTTTGTAAATTTTTGAGAATATAAGTAAATAAATAAAATACAAATAATAAATAAATTAAGTTATCAATAAATAAAATAAAATAACAATAACAAATAAAAAACAGAAAATAGAAATAAAAATTAAATAATATAAAATAAACTATTTTATTGAAATTTGGTTTAATATTATTTTTAGAATTTACCTTAAAAACATAGTGCACTATCACTCCGTTCCGTTTCTGTTTGCCGTTGCCGACGCGTCTAGCTTGCAAAACTGCAAGCTGTATACCGGCTATCTTCATGTGGTTGCTTCATGTAGCGATGCAAGAGCAGAAATGCCTAAGCGAGTCCTGGAGACAAGATATAATATATAAAATACAAATTTTTCTCATAAACTGGGAGACTATATACAGAATATTTACAACCATTTGCTTTCACTAGCACTCCAAATATCAAATAACTTAAATAGTACATAATCTGGAAATTAAAATCTTGGTAAGTATTCGCTGATGTCGATAATATTCCTTTATTTCAGTTTTGGCAAACAGATATAGGATATTAACTTGGCTAAGAGAAATATGAATTTTGTAGAACTTTTTACAAGGGGGCAAAAGCCTTTAAAATAAAAATATACAGATTTAGGAAACGACGATACTTTCGTAAAACTCTTTTAGTCAAGCAATGATTTTATCTTCATTTTTAAGCATTACATAAAAGAATGTCAAATTTTTATAGTAATTTACTATAATTTAATTCTTATAGTGACTTTAGCTATTATTTGAGAAAATCTTGTCTCGATATTAATTTCTTAAGACTACGTTATTAATATATAAATGAACAAGTCACCATTTTTTGAAATTGATTGCCACAATAAAAATGAAAGTCGTATGCACATATCTGAAACGAGAAATGCCTATAATGACCCAAGTGGTTGATACATAACTCGTACATAGAATCATAAATAACTGAATTTGGTGAAGTTAATTAGGGTATAGTACTCAAATATCACTGTTTTATTTAATGGTCTAGAAAAACCTCCAAAACTGTTGTTCAGAATTTAATTTTTGGCGCTAGTTTATCAGAATTTAATTTTTGACACTAGTTTATTTGTTCA